GCGGTAATAGGTGAACTGCTACATTTTTACAAAGCTATTGTGCAGCGAAAACCTCACGAAAACTGTAAGAAAATAGCAGGAATGAATTTTTAATAACCCCTTCGTCTCCGGTGAGTTTCGGCAAGTTTATAAACCTTCAAATAAAATGGGGCGTACCGGCTGTAGTAGTAGTTGTATTTTATTGTGACATCTTGTACTAAACTGGCTTGTTGATGTCTACTCATCTTCTCATAAGCAGACTGCGTCAAGTAGTCTCTGTATTACGAAAATTAGGAACGTTTGCACATCAAAATCCCGCGGCAAGCGTCTCACCCCTCCCATGCAAACACGTACACATAAAATAAATAAACCCTTGCATCAACAATCAACGATCCGACCACGTCCATTGACGTACGTATTACCCTGAAAGCAAGTACTTCCACGCGGCTGGCAAAAAATCTTCCGGTGGAAAAAGCATTCTCGTTCTCGATGTCACTTGTGAAAACGTTGTTTTGGAATGGAATCGGGATGAGAAAAATACAATGCCGCTTGCAGGACTGAGGCGGAAAATCGCTACAATCGCCAGGGCGGCCGGAGTCTCTGGGGCGGAGCATCGAGCCTTTGAGTTTGAAATCTTGCCGCCCAGCCAGTGGGCGGGTTCCCGTCTGTGTGCTGTGATTGGCGCCGCGCGGTGATAGCTATGCTGCGTGCCGTTTCTATGGCAACGTGGCCCAGTCACAGAAATGTATCAATTCTTGTTCGTCGCTGATCGTAAACACAGCCAAGAGGCGTAAATAACTTTTTAATTATGCTTCGCCCCCCCTCTTTATTTGTATAATGTTTAATCTCCCTTCCGCAGCTCCGTGCGTCGACCTCCCCTATCTAGGAGAAAAATGAACTTCTGGCGACATGGCACGTGGATGTGTTAGATTTTATATCTGAGATCGCGCGGGTCGGGTGGCATCAAAAGCAGTACTTAGCGGGCCGTCCACATCGCAAGGTCAGACAGAAATTCTCGTACCAAGAAGGTTGTATTATTTTGTTATCGTTCTAAACATTATTAAGCCACTAAAATTTTCGATATTAAAAAAGAAATATTTGATTAATAACACTAGCCGTTGGGCTAATGTTATCATCATGCATAATTTGGAAACAAACATGCGCCGCACCGTCTGTCTGTAAAAATCTTAGTCAACATGGTTCCCGAAAAATCCCGGGATATCCCGATGAATCCCGATTTGATGCTTATCCCATGAACGGTACTGTATTATCCCGAAAAAGATTGAAACTGCCTGACAAAACGACAAAATGTAATGTTATATCCATGTTATATCATGTCATCAGTAATAAACGTAAACAAACGCCCCCCTCCCCCGGCCCCGCACCCACATTACAAAGTCGACAATAGTTACAGATGAACACAAATATTCTGTTTACTTTATTTTCAAAACGGCAGCAAGCCTAAATCTCTATACATACGAGATTCTATCAAGTCAGGAGCTAGTAAATTATGAGTGTTTTTTTTTATTTGAGCCGGCGGTTTTATGCAAAAAATTACACAAAGTCGCCGGCGTTCTGTGGAAATCTGCAGTCCTACTTGTGGATATTGAACCCAAAATCCCAATGCAATATTCTCTACTCGAGACTGGTATTCATATGACCGTATTTTACGAAGAAAAATGAAAACTTACCGCTGACGTTGATCTACCGATCTCTTCTCGTGTCATACAAGGGCGGATGCCCATATTTGGAAAGCTCGGGTGTTCCGTGCGTAGCGCTAGGGTCATTGACCCGCGGTTATCGAACACGCTGTTCCATTGTTCCATGGTTGTTCGAATGTTCCAAACGCGTTCTTTTTGTTCGATTTTTGGCTTAAAATGCAACTTTTTTCACCCTTTTTTTCAAATAAAATCATTTTTTGACACCTATGTTGGCTAAAATGACCAAGGTTCCGTGTCTAACGTACCGACCTACCAGCATGCTGAATTTCATTTTCTTCCAGGTTCTAATTACGAAAATATCTACGATTTTTAGGTGTTTGGAGAAGAAGAGGAGGAAGAGGAGGAGGAGGAGGAGGAAATAGAGCAAATATAATATGTTTCCTTCGGTAAACATAACTAAACAGTAGTTGCTGATCTTTTTCCCCACAGATTTCATTTCCCATGTTGCAACTGGCTCTCCTCTGAGAAAGAAGACGGAAGGACAATAAGGACCCTGGAGGTAACTCCTGGTGGAGAAATGTGGTAAGAACTACAGTTTTCACCTTCTCAACTTCAAAAGTTTCTTCTTAAATAATTCAATTGGACTTCAAATAGTACTTCGACCTTAAAGAAGCAGTCAAAACATACGGCAAATTGCATGAAGGAAAGATAATTTTGAATCCACATTGATGAAAATTACACTATCTACATATCAGCCAATATTTGATGTGATAATAGCAAATATTATAGGTTTTAAGATGTTACCTTTCTTGGAAATATCAAGATATGTCGTCATATTGTATCCTAGGATGTCAGATTATTCCCTACCGACGTTTTCGTGTCTACTGTACGACAACCATCTGCTGTTGTCAGCCGTGTGTAACTCCGGTGTGAGACACTTCAGCCAGGCGCAGCGCCTGGTGTGTTGCCTGTGTGAGACCACGCTGTGGATGGTGGGCAGCGCCATGTGGTACGGAATCACAACAGGTGCAGGCGATGTGGTTGTATTGGACATCGGCGTATTCAGTCTCCGCCTATCAGAACTACTTGGTATTGCAGCAACGTCGTTCACGGTGTTCCTGCCTGTCTACGTCATCCTTGTGCCGATGTTTCGTAAGCAGCTCCCATTGGTCGATCACATCCCTTCAGAACTGTTGAAGACGCCGACACCTCCAACCACCTGGCGATTCCCCTACAAGACAGTAGCGTGGGTCCTCGCCATCCTGACTTCTGTCTGTAGTAGCATCTTTGTGATCGCATACAGTCTGCAGTTTGGAGCGGGGAGAAGCCAGGCCTGGCTGAAGGAATTCGTCCTGGCATTCCTGTTTTCTATATTCTTACTGGAGCCTGCTCAGGTTGGTATGCATCGTAAAAAATGAAGGTGGTTTTTGAGGCCATAGGGGCAGTGAGTTTTTGATCCACTGTGTCTACTAGGGCACTGTATTGGAATGTGGAGCCCATCCCTCTCCTTCCACTGCCTTTTACCTCTCCAAACGAAGTCACGTACCCATTTTACACCTGATAGAGTGCGGAAGATCGTGTTAAGTACATTTCTTAAACTTAAAACACAACATCTAGCCGTGAATACCCGAAATCGTGCACTGACTTCTTGACCTGTAGCCTAGCCCTTCGACCACTCGGCGCCACTAGTTGACGACATGCATAGATGCATGATACACATAGTATGAGAAAGACTAGGCCCTACCAGCAATCTCATAGCTATCTCCTCGTGGTTCAAAACTTCCTATACGTCCTTCTCAGGGTAGTAAGTAGATAGATCAGCTTTGTGACTTAACCTGTTCACGTCGTCCACACTTTTCAGATTTTCCTGATTGCCTACTTCAAGGCAGCCATCGTCGCTCCGATGGTTTGGCCTGTACTATCTCGTGTTCGGAGAGTTTGGGGAATGAAGGCAGCGGATAACGAGCAGTCTCCGGTCGGTATCATCCACAAGAAGAACAGGGACTATCGTGGTAAGTCTTCTTAATTTTTACGTGTCAGTCAACAACGGTAGTAAACTGCTACGAAACCCCATAGCCAGCCAAACAACTTTTTGAGAAAAAGATATTCCACTATATCTTCGACAACGAATGGACAGATAATGCTAATTTTCTGTTGAAATGAAACAGAAATTGACGATGGCTACTGCCATGTAGACATGCATGTTTTGTTTGTTTGTTGTATATTGGCTTTAAGACTTGAAACGTAAAATAGATATGCATCATCAGAGGCCGTTAGTAGTAGATAGCATTACTATTGAAGGTATCGTCACCCTAAATTGCTATTTTGTTTATTTGACGAAGTCCCGGCACCGAGGGTTTTACCCCCAGCCCCGAAGAAAAACGACCACGACCCGAACTGGACCAAAAGGGTGACTGCAGGCAGAAATATCCTTGGTATGGTAATAATTCTGCTGATCTTCACCGGGAATGCCTTCTACATCGGGTTTCTGGGCTTCGACAGATACGCCTACTACACCAGGAACTCGCTGGAGAATAGTCTGCTGTCTGGATATGATGAGGTACGGTTAGACAAACTGTCTCTCTCAAGTTGATCTCTTTCTTATACTACTCTTTCTCTTTCTCTCTCTCTCTCTTTCTCTTTCTCTCAGACCCTAAGCCCTCTCTTTAACTCTTTTTTCTGGAGAGGACGAAATAGACTTGACAGCTAATTTTTTTTGGAGTTATCCGCTTTAAAAGATTTCGTCAGAAACCCCCTTGCAGTTCCAGCACAAGCTGCTAGAGGGACAAAACCCAAACCACGTATTCCTGAAAGGAATATCTATCCAAGACTATAGCATGTTCAGGACAAAAGATACAAAACCCGAAAGTTCTCCTGCAGTACCAAGGTAAACTAACAGGAGGTCCATATTTAGTTGAAATTTGTCTTCCTACGACCTACTAAAATACCAAATAGCATCACAATCCATAAAGGCGTTCTGACGTTATGCTAACTACAAATGTGCAGAAGCACACAAAGGCAGACACACATACACTTTGTACAAATAGACACACCAATAACAATAGCTCCATTTTTCATGCAGGTAATAAACAAATAAATAAGTGCTAACCTATCCCCCCCCCTCCCCAGGTGACTACAGTGGACGGTGCCGTGGGAGGTGGCTGTCGTCTGATCTGATGCCATCCCTCCACCCGGACCGCGGGTACAGCGGGAAGACCCTCAGGTGGCTGGACAAACAGTTTCCGGCTGGAACCAACGCGTTCCGGATCGGACCGGTTCGCCTGGAGAGAACCACCAAGTATCCAGGTGCCAAGCATCGCTGTTTCAACTTCTTTGTACTAATCTGTTGTATATTTTGGAAACTGTTCCTTTGAAAAAATGAATTCACGAATGAAAGATGTTTATTGTACGTTTATATTCTTACAATGTAAGAGGAAACTGAGTACAGGTAATGAAGATAAAGTAGTTTTAGGTACAGTTACAGTAATATGTAATGTTTTATACTACACCTACAAGGGTTAAGGTATGCACAGGTTGAACCTCTGAACCCCTGAACGTAAGACAGTGTAAGAAAAGATTGAGCTTATAATGCACGACATTGTTGTTGCATGAGGAATATGAAGTTGCTGTCAAACTATATCTACAGTAAAGCTGGGGAACATATCTTCTATACAATTAGATAGAATATTTTTCTTTGTTATATTAGGTACAAGTGATAAAAATAATATAATAAATGATAAACTTGAATATGAGCAGTTTTGTACCTTTATAAAGGCATTTTCTCTTACTTTCAGAGGACCCAACGGACATAGACCTCGAGCTTCCTGACCATGGGCTCTATCCAGAGCTTCTGACAGAGAAAATCAATGAAGTTCAAAACCGGCTGAGTGGACGGAACTGCTCACACAATGAAACTACGCGCGTTGTGGATATTGCTAGGTACGCAAATACATATAGAGTTAACCTGGTGTCCAGTCTATCGCGGTTGAAGAGGGTTCTCTTCGGGGCTGCTGAAGCTCTTCCCCGCCAGCCTGAGCTAGGTTCCTCGGTAGGTTTTTCAAGACGGGAATCGACCCCCGGCGTGCCATACTCAATCATATGCGTAACACTCCTACCGGGCGGTCTGTTGAGCTGGGCGGGGGAAGCCCCGAAGACAGCCTGCCCCATGCACGATAGACTGGATACCAGGCTAAAAGATTAGGTGATGTCTTCTTGGCAAGGTCTTGGGAAGCTGGTTTTGTCTCGTCTTTCGCTCGCAAAGACGACATCAGTTGCCTTCGGGAGCAGTTCCAATGCTGTTAGGTTTTCTTTTAATTAACAGTTGTAATCGAACGTAAAATCTGATTGTCTACTTTACTGAAAATAGCGTGGTGTCTAGTCTGTAGCTATTTAAAACTATTCATTATCATGTAAGCCACGTTCCATGTATATTGTGTAACCTATATCAAATAGTGTAGTGTTAGTCTATATATAGAGAGAACCCATATTAAGAATTACTGTATAGACATTAGAGTAGATATGAGTTTGATCTGCAGTACCTGTCGTTGATTGTACCTGCTAGAATTGTTGTGCAATAAAGTTTGACTGTGGTACTAACTTGTCTGATTACAGAAACGGAACTTCGGCGTGCATCACCACAGTAGATCTACCACAGGACGCCGACCAGGCTGCTGCAGTGATAGACTTCCTAAAACAGACCCACTGGACCCTGATGGTTTCAGACACGCTCACCCTCCGGATCAACTTCTACCACCCTGACGTGAAGCTGTTCAGCACCGTGGACATCACCCTGCAATACCTGCCAGGCGGCGCTGCTGCACTGCACCCCACTATCCACACCTTTCGGCTGTTTCAGTACCAAACAACGGACGACTTCGTCCAGATGCCCTTCCACGTACTCTTTCTAGTCTTCTTCGTTTACAACGTTCTTCGTGAGATTTGGAACATCCGTAAGAGGGGTCGTCTGTACTTTGGCAGTTTCTGGAACGTTTTGATGCTGTGTAACATTGGCTTATCTTTAGCCGTTATAGTGATATTCGGCCTTCGGTACATCTGGGCAACTGCTGCTTTGGATGACATACAGCAAGCAAAAGGTACGTAGTAAAGACAGAATCTATTTTTACAATTACAGTAGCACACTGCAGGTTTTTACAAGTGAAGTCCGTAGCTCATGTTTGAATTTCACTGATTTGAAACCGATTAAAAAGATCGGGAAACAATATTCTTTAATACTATAGAATACATGATATGTATTATCTAATACAGGACCATTCGACATTGATGAGTTTGTTGACATCAGCGCCGCCTGCCGGTGGGACGCAAACTTCAAGACAGTCCTGTCCTTCTCCATCTTTGTCAGTACCTTCAGCATCCTGCGTGTTCTCAACTTCTCCAGGAGTGTTGCTATCGTCTTCGCTATGCCTCGTGTACGTATATTATAGAACTTATTTTAACGCATTCTAATAACAGACCAAAAGTTGAATCTTTTCATGAAATACGAGATGCTTTTGTTTATATCAATTACTAGTAGTGTAGCCATATGCAAATTTTAGGTGTACAGTAGGCGTATGCAAATTCGAGGTGTACAATAGGCATATACAAATTTTAGGTGTACAGTAGGCATATGCAAATTTGAGGTACACAGTAAACATTGCAAATTTGAGGTGTACAGAAGACATATGCAAATTTGAGGTACAGTAGGCATATGAAAATTTGGGATGTAATTCAGTAATTTGCTTACAGTGACGTCATGGGGGAGAGTAACGTTAAAAATTTAAATTGCAAGAATAAAATCAGTGATATCAAGGCCAATAATGCTTTGTATTTTCATGTGAGCAGCTATGTAGTTGCCGTTTTTTTTTCTTACAATAGCTGGTTTACCGGGAAGCCTTTGGGTTTGTTCTCTACATGCTGGTTATCATAGTGGCCTACGGCTTCAGCGGGATCCTGATATTTGGCAAACACATGAAGACCTTCTCCGCCTTTAAGGAAACGTCTTACGTCTTATTTGAGATGAGCCTGGGCAGACCGTTTGTCGGCGTCTTCGCGGAGGATATGAAGACAGTGGATCGTGTCATTGGACCTCTGTACTACTCTACTTTCGTCTTGGTCTTCGTCTTTTATCTGGTCAGACAAACATATATTCATTTTCTTTTTTTAGACAAATATATATTCCTTTATTTAATTAATTAGACGAAACACGTCTTTCTTTTCTTAGACGAAAATATATTTCTTTACTACCTGGACAAAATATATTTCTATATTTTCTTAGACAGACAAATTTTTGTTTATTTACTTAGACAAAAATATGTTTCTCTATGTTCTTGATAATATATTTCTCGCTAGTTATGTTGCCAATAAGTTCACAAAGCCAAACTTCCTGCTTCTGTATCTCACAGATGAATCTAGGAGTCGGTTTGTTGTGTAACTGGCTGAGTTACTGTCAGACCTCTGATGACGTCATCGATGTGGACACCGCCATGGGAGATTACTTCTGGAACTCATTCAGGAGTCTTCTTGGCATGCGCCATGAGTCCCAAGAATCTGACGGTATTATAAATAGCAATGTCTGATGTATTGACCGTTTTCGCTAGAATGTATTTTTTGGCGACGTTTCAGGGACGAGCCTAATAATACATTGTGTAAGCAGTCTGCCAGAATTCTAGGAACTGTACAGGAATGTTTTGTTTAACAGACATATTTGTATAACTATATGTATTTGATATTTCAAGTCGTTTTTGTTGCTGCATATCATGCACATTCAAATATATCTTATATGCCGATTATCTATAGAAAAAAAACAGTACTGAAAGATTCGAATGAAAGCTCATTTGTGTTAGTAGAATCCATAGTTGTGAAGTTCAAATTTTGAAGTTTGAACTTTACAACAATACTTTAAGATAGCCTATAGGATGCTTTGTTTTTACTGATGCTTTGTTGTTACTGATGTTTTATTGCTATAAGCTAAAAACTTTGTCGTTTCTAAAGATGAAGCCCCACTTCCGGACTACTACATGGACGAGACCCTCCAGCGGACGGAGGTGGTACTGCAGGAAGTGGACAGTGTGACTGACCTGATGTACAAGTTTGAGTGCAAGGAGCGACATTCCACGTCTACTGAGTCATATGCTTAAATCTTTAACTACATACCTCAATAGATGTGATATATGTGATGGTTTGAAATGGATATCAAATATGTACACTTCCTAATATCTATTTTACCTTCGCAGAGGGAAAACATCGTTTTTGCTCTTTTTCTTCTTCCTGTTCTTCTCTAAACAAATGAGGTCAATGACCTGACCCAGACGTCTGTCACCACGGTAACTGGTGTTGGGTTAAATCATGTTACAATTTCATAGCAGGAGGGATTTAGACTCCTGTCACCATATATACGAATGTGTTTGAGTAAGAATTAACAGAGCAGACCATAAACATTATGCAATCCAGTAGTTGTTATTCTACCTATAATTAAAGGCATACACGATTATTACTTGGATTAATTGACGTTTTAATGTGAATATCTTTTTATGTAAAGTATGGAGTTGAGGTGGCTATTAGGCTAATCTAGGTTTGGTGTCATATCACAATATCGTATAATGTGTGGCAAACTACTTGGAGCAGATGTGTAATGTACAGTATGTCAATTTGCATGTCACATGTCACAAGATAGCTATATAGCGATGTGACGGTGTAAATAAATTGATAAAGCCGTTAAATCTTTTCTAACTGGATAATTGGAGTACCATCCGGTACTCTTCATCAGTACAAATGTACAGGAAATTTCCGGTACAAGAAATAAGTTCTAAATAAACAAAATCAATCTATGTTCTAAAGTAGGTTCTAAAAACTGACAAGTTCTAAAAAACAATCTAAAGGTATTCTAAATAAACAAAAGGTAACTACCAAATTAAACTTTCAATCGACCTATCACATTATTACGTCACAGTTTGTTTACCGCAATGAATGCCGGTCAATCGATGTACAGGGGTGCGTAGCGCGGTGTGTGTTTGTGTAGTGTTAGCCTTAATATAAGGCCTTTATACAGTACTACTTTGAAGTTCGTCTAATGTCACAACTAAATCACCCATGTGGCATGTAATGCTGCGTGAACACAACTAGACGCAGCAAAAATCAGACATACCTGACTCTGAAAACTTAAAATGATCTTTATTCTTTAACTGACCGTTCTAGACGGCATTACGACCTCACTAGTGTTGCCACACAGTTTTTAACCATTGATATTTTTACGTCGATGAATGTTAGACAGGTAATACGATACGCCAAAAAGCAGTATCCACTAGCTTTCGTCAGTGACCGAGAGACCAGAGGAGAAATGCAGGTTTATAAGCACAACCTATTGATTGATATGCAAATGAAGTGAAGACAAATTTTTAGAAGTCAAAAAAGGAACAAAAGTCAGACAATTTAAGACAATATAATGCAAATTAGTCAGAAAGCTCCTGTTATACAGAACAGGAGCTTAAGTTATTTAAGGCGAGTGTTATTTACAGACTCAAATGTGAGGAGCCCAATTGTAACAACACCTACATCGGAGAGACAAGTCGACCGCTCAAAGTAAGGTACAAAGAACATTGCCGACCTAGTGCCAATGGCTACTCCTCAGCTATTTTCACCACCTACAACACAACCAGGGTCACTCTTTCAAACTCGAGTCCACGGATATCTTAGACCGCGAAACACGCTGGTGGGAACGGGGTGTTAAAGAGGCAATATATGAAAGAATGTACAACCCCACCCTCAACAGGGAAGGGGGGCTACGGGTCGATCTTTCCGGCACTTGAGATTTGGCACTCCCAGCCCCGAGGACAGACAACACTTAAGCTCCTGTTCTGTATAACAGGAGCTTTCTGACTAATTTGCATTATCTTGTCTTGAATTGTCTGACTTTTGTTCCTTTTTCGACTTCCCAAAATTGGTCTTCACTTCATTTGCATATCAATCAATAGGTTGTGCTTATAAACCTTTTTTTTCTCCTCTGGTCTCTCAGTCACTGACGAAAGCTAGTGGATGCTAGCTGAAACGTCTGACGTTTTCAAAATCTTGCCCAAGAAGTTAAAGTCGCCGTAATGCTATGGTCAATGTAATATGGTAGAACCACGGAGTATCGCGAAAGGATTTTATGCTGATAAGCAGAGATGACCATGTATTTACATAATGTATTTACATAATGTGTTCACGCACATATAAATGCACTAAAGGTCAATAAAGAGGTACAATCAAGCAAGTGATTTGTGTTTTTAAAGAATTTATTGCAGACAGTAGACACAAAATCTCCGAAAGATTAAAAACGCTTTTGGAAGCACTGCAAAGAAGTACATGTAATCTATGCCACCATACTGTTCATAGGTACTTTATACTTACTTCTACTTGCATGCACATGTCTAAATATTATTAGATCCTACTTATTACAGCAATTATGAGCTCTGTTCACTACATATGGTTATCTCAAATCTAGAACTGTCTTCATCTACAATATGATGTTTCTAATAACTATATACGTTTACTTTTAACTGGTTGTCTATAGTATATAATGTTGTATATATCTATTTATATGCTGTGTTAAGTTATCCTGAAATAGCTACCTATAAGTTTACTTTTTAGATTTATCCCTACATATATGATGCTTCTAGTCTCACACCAAATCTATACGGCAATGGCCCGCGCTAATTTAAACAAGCACAAAAGTATTACGGAAAGCAATAGTATGGCACGATAACTCTCGGAATCCTAATTTTATGCACTAGTAAGACTATGCAATATAATGCATTGAATTGAATAAGACAATATAATATATGTATCCGAGACATTGAAAAATACAGAACAGACCCGCTGTCTATTTTTATGATCTTCAAGCAGATATGGGATCTACATTTGTAGCTCAGTCTCAGTATTCAAAACAGTATGTTCTTGATTTTTTTAGTGGTGGAGCTTTAAACTATTCCTCGTTTGTTGCAAAGAAGAAGAAGATGAGTTTTTGAAAACGTTTCACTGCGAAAGAGACACACAAAATACGGGTAAAACACTGAGATTGAGTCGGATCTCACATCTGCTTGGAGATTAGCTAACATCACCATATATCTGGGTAACAATGTTATTATTACAAGTCTTTAAGTTAAGAAAAGTGGAAAAGAGGAAATCAAATGAAAGTAGAGGTTATACCTTGATGATATGTAATTCAATATACAACAAGAGGAAGGCTAAGAGCGCAAAACTACGCCAGTGTAATTTGTGTACTTCAGTGTAGTTCAATTTATTGGATTTACTTCTTTGTGGTGTATAGTAACAGTCTTCATGACACCTGAATGGCTAACCACCAAAACAAAAACAGTCAACTGCAAAACTACGTAGCTATCAAATGTCTTACTGACCTATTGGATATGAAGTAATGATTTCCTACAGAACCTGCCTGCCTACCTGCCTACAGAACCTAATTGTACACAAAGGCCTTCCAGCCAGATTTTACAAGTAAATTGTTCTGAATCTCGCTCAATTGATGTCAGTCATTTAGGCAAACGCATGGCTACAAAAAGACTAAAAAGACAACGAGAAAGAAAGAAAGAATGAAAGAAAGAAAGAAAGAAAGAAAGAAAGAAAGAAAGAAAGAAAGAAAGAAAGAAAGAAAAAAAGTATGAGGAAAAGAATTGAAATATCGATCTACTCTGTTTACGGCGGACATTGTTAAAGGCATCCAATGCAGTTTGGGTTGTAACCCCGAAATTTTAAAGCCAATATTCTTGTCATTTATCTACGTAGTGAGTTGAAACCACAATATCCCAGTGTATATTGAGCAAATAAATACCCAATATTCTGACGGAAAGTGGTTACTGAAAGGGCCATTGACTGAGATTAGGGTACCAGTCAGAAAATGAAAGCCTGATCTTGGGGCTTGTTTCTGCAGTTTTAAATGCCCTAAGTATGAAATGCTGATTTAAATGTGCCAATGTGAAGCGGTATGTGTCAGTATTAGAAAGATTGCCTTATTTAGCATATGTCCAGTTTTCCTGTCCTGAAAACGCATTGGATGCCTTTAACACACAAGTTCAAACAATGACAATGTCAACGCGATTTTTACGGCTGTGTGTGGCAGATGAAGGCCCTCCGCGTAGAGCACCGCGCGGCTCTCCAGCGGTACTGGGTCGACTTCCGCGCGACGACGCAGTCCTTCCCGGGCATGTTGACCGGCGGGTCGGGGAACCAGTCGGTAAAGTCGTTTCCACCCAAGACCGTCCCGTCAGCCCACACCCAGGTTCCCTCCACGTCCTCATCACTCAGTCCTACCCACATACTTGGGGCGCCAGTGCTGAAATAAAGAAAAAAGGGTTAATGACCCGTTCTGAGATGTCATAATTCATGGTCCATTCCTATAACCACCGAAAAAAAACCATGAATTATGACGTAGTATACCTAAAGAAAGAGGGTCATTAACTTTATTCTTACATAGTATGTAAATATCTAAGTTGTGCAAACTAAACGTATCACGTGCAGCATTGTACGTGTTTTTGATCGTTTTACATATTCAAATCGGGGACATCTGCGGTTATTAGAACAGAACACATGTTCCATTTAGGTCACTGGTCAGACCGCATGTTCCATTTGGGTCACTAGTTAGAACGCATGTTCCATTTCGGTCATTCCGACTTTTTTCTGTGTCTCTAAATAGAAGCCTACTAGTCTATAAAAAAGACAGAAAAAACTTCTAACCTGATCAGTATGGTCTTGAGTCTAGCGACATCATCAGCATCCCTCCACATGTAGATGTCTCCTCCGTCCTGCTGACAGAACTGCCTGGCGCCGCTGTAGCTCTTGCCGTTCCTCCCGCCCCAGAAACGGAAACAGTCACCCATGTACGTCCTGTATCCTTCGGGGCACTCTGGAGACAAAGACGACAAAATTCATTAATGCGCAACAAAACTTCATTTGACTCTCATCGTTACTTTTTGTTTAATTTACTGGTTTGGTGTTGAACAAGTAGATTTCAATTCCAAATACAGTTTTCATCGGGTCCTAAATAGTTTTTGTTATCCCAACTGCATTCACCAACTATTTTAGTATACCTATTTAAAGTTGTTTATATATTTAGCTGTTATTAGATTGGTAGAAAGATATTGTTAATGCATACAGTTCAAATAATAAACAGAATAATATTTTCTTTACCTGGTATATAAGCCTCTACAATAGTTGGTCCTGCACGTATTGCGCTCTTTCTTTCCACGAACCAAGATGGTTTTGGTCCCTTCTGAGTAATCATGGCATAAGACTCTCTGAACCCTGTATCATGGGATACATTCAATCTTTCAAGTATACGACTATCAACTAACACTACAAATATGAGTACAGAAAATCTGGCTTATTTACACTGAATAACGTTAATGTTTAAAATGTTGAATTGATATTCAACCAAGGACTGAGTTGTTCAAAAACTCATTTTTGCTAGAACTATCATAAAGTGTAACTCGCTGCCATTAAGTATAGTCGTGTGATGGAAGACAAATACAACATATTACCCAAAGACGTCGCAAAATGCTGACTCAGTCAGAATTAAACTTTCCTTTATCGCGATTTATTTAATCTCTCCAATCGTACCAAAAAGCAGAAATGTACCTGAAGTGAGAATAATGTTTAGTCTTACATAGCTCTAAATGCTTTGTTTTAAATAAGAGATTAAAGGAGATTACCTAGTGCAGTTGTAATTGTAGAACCGTATGGCGCTAGGTTGACTCGGACGCCGTCGCCGCTGTCATGAACAACGATAGCTAGGATCCGTCCCTGCAGTAAAATAGGAGCAAATATGACAGAGATATGAGAATAGCAAGAAATGTAACATGCCGGAACTCCATCTATAAGACTAAGGTACTGTTTAATTTAGACATTGTTATCATTATGACGTTTACCTAAAGTGTAGCATGCTTCTAATGCTTGCTAGAATGAACAGGAGGTACTGAGGGTATGTAAGTATTTCTAATATAATGTGTGCGTATGCGTGTGTGTGCGTGTATGTGTGTGTGCGTGCGTGTGTGTTTGCGTGTGTTTGTGCGTGCGTGCGTGCGTACGTGTGTGTGTGTGTGTTTTTGCGCGTGTGCGTGCGTGCGTACGTGTGTGTGTGTGTTTTTGTGTCTGTGTTTGTGTGTGTGTGTGTGTGTGTGTGTGTGTGTGTGCGCGCGTTAGTCTGTGTACGGGACAATAGGTTTGTTTGTTTGTTTGTTTCGCATAACCGGTAAACCGCCTTTAGGCGTAACACACCAGTTTTGTACATGTGCGTACATGTACAAGCTGCGTAAGACCGGACTGTAAGGTTTTTTGAACCACTCACACCGGGAAGATCCCCTACTCTTTTCGATAAGTGCGGTGGGTTCTTTAACGTGAATGGGGTGTGGCTCTCCCACACACGGGACCTCCATTTAACGTCCTATCCGAGGGACGTCCCTATAGTCCGGTTGCCAAACCCCCGATTTTTGGAGAACCTTGCAATACGGTCCATACAAAGTTTTTTTGGTGTTTCTATATCTCTGAGGTCTGCTCTTTCAGAATCTGAATGATGCCACTCTGTCATCCTTGGGCAATCCGCACAATATGCAAATTAGGGCGGCCATTACTGAAAATCGGGTTTTCGTCAATATCTCAGTAACTACACATCGTATCAGAACAATTTTGGTGTCTATCCCCATGTTTTGAGGGATAAGGAATCAGATCAAGCCATTTCAGTGAAGATCAAACCAGTATTTTGTGCTAAATACGCAAATTAAGGCCGCACAATATGCAAATTAGGGCGGGCATTACTGAAAATCGGGTTTTCGTCAATATCGCAGTAACTACACATAGTATCAGAACATTTTTGGTGTCTATACACATGTTTTGAAGGGTAAAGAATCTGGCCAAGTTATTCTAGTTAAGATTACACCAACATTTTGTGCTGGATAGGCATATTAAGCCCACCATACACTGACAATCTTGACTTTGACATTACGTCAATATCTCAGTAACTACACATGGTGTTAAAATGATTGTTGTATCTATACACAGCTTTTAGTCTGTAAACAATTCGACTTAACCATTTCAGTATTAATCATACTAATTTTTTTTATATTTTCTGCACAAAAGGACCGTTATTACTAACTATACTAGTATCAGTAAGGACGGCCTGAGAAAGGCAGACACCCTCTGTTATTGACGCGCCTGGCGGGAGTCTAATTCCAAACCATGTTCCATGTGAAGGCACATGCCATTGCTTATAGTTTATCTGATCTGACCAAAAACCTGTTCAATATAAAATAATAACGATTAAAGCTTCACGGAGCTGCACAGATGCGTAGTTTACTTCAGTGTAGCACTTTGCAACCAAGCGTAATTTTGTCTGTGTGCCGAACTAGTAAGTACAGAACAATCTGTGAAGAAAATGTATCGATTGAAATATCAATAAATTAATCTACAACTAAAGAATAGCAAAGTTCTTTGATTACCATTTATTTTCACGAGACAAAGGCCGATTCCTGTCCCAAATGTTCTCTTTTTATCATTACGCGACTTAATCTACGGCAACAGCGTTGTGCAGTGCTGTACGTTTACCTGCGATCACATGATTTTAAGTCACGTGATTGTTAAAATGGCGGGAAACTGCGGAATGCCGTCGTCTGACAGGACGTCAAGTTCGAGCTAAATTCTGCCTACATAGGGACGCAGGTAAGGCACAGGTGGAGGTTTATCAAGAGTCTAATAATTCTTTGTACACATTATATCATTTTGAACATTCCTATCGGTATTTCTAGGTACAGGTAACCATGTATGACGCCGCAACAACGAATTTTCAAAGTAGTTTGGAATTAGGTCAGCATTAGGACCCCCTCTATATCTTCTCTTCCAGGTAGAGCTGACAGATGGAAGAGTGTAACAGTTGCATTTTTTGTAAAGAAATTGGAACAAGGAGCTCAGCGTAGCAGGGACTGACAGGATACGGACTATCATTGAATCAAGTAAACAGAGATTAGATGACCTCCATGAAAATCTTGAAACTGGACTGTTGACAGACAAACAAGTACAGGTGCTTTGTCACAGAGATTGTGTATCCACGTATACATCCAAATCACACATCAAGAGACACTTGAATAAATTGAACTCAAAAAGTTCTGAAGAGACATCTACAGTAAAACGTCTCCGTCGATCAGGATCGACAACCTTGCCAACATTGCCTTTTCTGTGGTGAGCAATGCCTTGACATTGATACCAAGCATCCGGATCGTTGGCGCAGGGTTGTTGTTTGTAGGACAGCGGAACGTGGTGAGGGGAGAAAGACCTTTAAGGAAGCCATTCTAGATGCCTGTAGATCTCGCAACGACAACTGGGGACGCGAGGTAGAGACACGTTTGGCTGGGGCAGTGAGTGATCTGCATGCAGCAGATGGTCGATACCACACAGATTGTTACAGTAAGTTTTGTTCGCCTAGGTCAGTGAAGTCAGCTTTGGCAGCATCTAGTAGTTCTCAAGAGGAAGTTGATGCGGCTTTTGAAGCCACAGTCAGTGCAGTGAGAGCAGAATCATCGAGAGTGTGGAATTCCATCGAACTGTACGATCTATACAAGTTCAATGGTGGAAGACACATTAGTCGCCGAACTTTAGTCTCTAAGTTGTTTAGACTACTTTGGTTTCAGATCGTCTCATGCTGAGTGGCACAGGTGTAGCCAGTCTTTTCGTGTTTCGAAGTAAAGCATCCAGTTTGTTGAGACTAGTGCCGAGCAGTGATGAAGATGATGTTGAGATTGGACTAGAAAAGGTAGCCAACCAGATTATCCGTGATGTAAAGGAATCATCAGTCGATGAACTATCAGACAAGACCTATCATGCCAGAATTGACATGGACCTTGCGACTGATTGTGTCAGTCCTACTTTGTTATCGCTGCTATCAAAGCTGTCTACAAAGTTGGACCACACCTTACCAGCCGCTCTCATCGGAAACATTGTTACTAATGCCATAAGTGGTTCATTCACAACCCTCCAGATTGCGCTCGGTGTTTTCTTGAACAGGAAAGGGTTGATTGAGCAATTCCATGAGTTCCTTGCATCTTGCAGCTATGATGAAGTTCTTAGGTTCAAAGCATCTGCAGCAGCGGCTGCTGTAAGCAATGCATCGTTAAGAGGACATGTCCATGCTGAAAACAGTCTAGTTCAGCTTGTCTCTGACAATTTCGATGCACAGATTTCATCACAGAATGGACTGCTGTCCACACACTCGCTCGCAATGCTACTGACATTTGTAGATAAGCATGGTAAAGATGATGGCAAAGGCCAGACATTTCGCCGCATAAGAAAGGACGAGATGAAAGAACAGACGATCGAAGATATCCCTGTCCAGAGATACTATGGTCCTAAGAAGCCGAACATGCCTTCAAGTGAAGTGAATCGCTCTGTCTTACCACTCAAAGTTTTGGCGCACCAAGTCGTTGCCTTAGAAAGGGCCCGTCATCTAGACTTCGAGTTCTTCAAATGTGTTGCCACAAGTACAAACCCTGTAGAGTTTGGTGGCTTCAACACCAAGTTGTGTAGAGAGCAAGGACAGAGTGTGAAACCAGCGACAAAGGCGGTGTATCTTCCATTGATTGATATGAATCCAGCCCACCCAGACTCCATGCTCACAGCCATGACCGAAGCTCAACGCCTAACGAAGGAATGTGGACAGGGCATTACTATTCTGACAAATGATCAGCAGCTCTACAAAGTTGCAGTCAATGTGAAATGGGTTTACCAAGAGAGATTCTCAGATTTCATCCCGAGGCTCGGAGGTATGCACATGCTCATGAGTTTCATTGGCTGTGTTGGCGTGTTGATGGCAGACAGTGGACTCGAGGATATCATG